AATTTGGAATTTTGTCTGGTTACAGTGAACGACACAGTGGTGCATGGCCCAGGCCTACTGAAGGGGTGGGTGCTGAGCAACAGATGAAGTAACACCATAGTAAAAAACCCTTAACCTGCAAGTGGCTTTTGCATATCTTCTGATACCATGTACTTTGTATGTTATCTCCTTCATTTGTTTCCCAGACAGAAACTCAGAGCCAGACACCTGTTACACTGAATCCTGACTACTAGTCTCCTGTATGCCACACTGTCTTTCAAATACTGCCTGCTTATTTAGCACCTAGCAGTAGGCACGTGGCCTGCAGAAGGAGGTGGGGATGCTGGGATTAGGGAAGGCCTGATCATGACTTGAGAGCCCACACCAGCCCCAAACCAAACACAGTGGCAACCTGGAGGAAAGGGAGCCCCCTTCTTGTGGGGGTTTTCTGGGAAGGGAGGGATTTGCCAGTTTTTTGTTGATTGAGGACGGGCTGGGCTGGGCTGCATCGTTTGGTTTCTAGACCTGTTAAAAAGGACCTCCATCCACTGCCTCATGAGTCCCATCCTAGTCTTGTGGGAGCAGAATACTAAATTGGGGGCTCAGCCATCTCTTTTTAAAAAAAGTTTCCTGGTGATTCTGTTCATCAGTGAGGTTAGGGAAGCACCTCCAGATGGAGGCAATAGTTTGAGAAACTTGGTGACAGTCAGCACAGGTCATATTTGGAGAATGGAGTGTTATCTGATCATTGATTTTGGCAAAGTTGAAAGTTCATTAGGAATACCAGAAGAGAGAAGGCTGTAAGGGTGGCTCGAGCTGGGTTCTAGAAGGCCCTAGCTGCCAGGCCTGGGCATGTGACTTTACTCTGTAGATAAAGGGCAAGCAGGGGAGAGATTTGTTTAAGGGAAGGTAGGAGAGACTGGAATGTGGTAAATGGTTGGGGTCAGGGGACTCCCTTGTCAGGAGGCTATGGAGTCTCTCAGCTTTAGTGTCTGAATAGCTAAGGGTAGTGGTAGCACTGGAAAGGAAGGGGCAGAGTGGAAGGCTTTTCAGAGGAGAACATGATGGATTTCTGACTCACTGGTCAGGTAGGGTGGAAGAAGACAGGGCTGGAGCCAGATCGTACTGTTTCTCACTAATGAGGCACAAAGTGTTGGGTGGAGGGGTTGCTATTGGGACACCACACTGGACTCCTCTTTCTTTCCTCTCCAACCATGGCACCTGAATCTGGCAGTCACCTGGTGGCTGGGTCAAGGTGAGGTGGGGGACCAGATCTCCATCCCCAGAAGTGGGTTATGGGAGCGGATAATACTCTTTAGGGTTGGGGCCCTTGGAGAATCCCAGAACGGCTGCTGTGATTTTTGAGACAGGTTCATGGTGAAGCTGGCTGAAGAGACTGATGGGGTCATTGTCTCCAATGACCAGTTCCGGGACCTGGCGGAGGAGTCTGAGAAGTGGATGGCAATCATCAGGGAGCGGTGAGGGAGCCCTCCCCTGGGAACAGGGCGTGTACGCAGACCTTTCTCTAAACCACTTCTGCTCTGCCACCTGGTGAAGACTCTGGGAAGGGGCTTGATATGGTCCTGAAGGAAGGTGGCTAGTAGTTTTCTGGGGGTGCTGGTATCAGCTGTCCGGGAGGTTCATCAGGGCCCCTCTGTGACCGTACATTCTCTTTCTGCACCCAGCCTGCTGCCTTTCACTTTTGTGGGAAACCTCTTCATGGTTCCTGATGACCCGTTAGGGCGAAACGGCCCCACGCTGGATGAGTTCCTAAAGAAGCCAGTCAGGTAATGTCCCAGATTGTCCTAGGCAGCCCCCAGCCCTGGCCCTCTGCAGGGGCATTGTAGACTTGGGGGCAGTGTGACCTCATCTGGGCCAGCTTACTTCTCTACTGGTTTGGTTGCTATGGGCTTGGCCTTTAAGTGTTTCGGGGAATCCTGACTTAGGCCTTCCTGGCTGGGAGGAGAGCTCCCCTCCTCCCCTCTCCTAACCCGTATTTTTGGTGGATTATTTGGAATGTGGTTGCTTTTGCTTATAGCCAGTTTTATTCCGCACACCCTCTGCTGGGCCATTAAGTAAGTGATCAATGTATGAGACTAGAACTAGGTCGTAATAGCCACAGGCTTCACCTTCCTGGTTCTCAAGGAAATGGGCTTCTCCCCTTCAGAAGTGGCTTGATGCTGCCGCTCAGTGGTCAGCTTGGGGAACTTCAGGTCCCATTCCCACTCCAAAGCCAGAAATAGGCCCACTGAACTCTCGCTTCCCTCCAGGATGCTCATCGGCTCTTTGTGCTCTCTCTGCTTCTTCCCAGGGCACAGGGGTCTTCTGAGGCTCAGAATCCTTCCAGGGGCTTCGCAGAACCTGGTCAGCAGCAGCAGGGGAGAGAAGAGGAGGAAAAAGGCAGTGGCATCCGGAAGACCCGGGAGACTGAGCGGCTTCGGCGCCAGCTGCTCGAGGTGTTTTGGGGCCAGGATCACAAGGTGGACTTCATCCTGCAGCGGGAGCCGTACTGCCGGGACATCAACCAGCTCTCAGAGGCCCTGCTGAGTCTCAACTTTTGAGCCTCACTTGCCTGACTGACTGCCTGCTATCCAGTGAGCTTCAGCCTGTCCCAGCTTAGCTGTTTCTGTGAGGGTCCTTGTGCTGCTCAGACCCTGACCTAGACTCACTCTGAGTTGGTGGGACTTGATCTCATCTTGAGTCAGGACCTCAGGTAGCTCTCAAGAGATTCTGCTCAGCCTTAAGTTCTCAACCTTGCCATAGCACAGGGTTTCTGTAGGGAGTGGGGGCCTGCTGGGAAGAGCAGGTCCTGGAGATGGGGACTGCTGGCTCCTCCTTCAAACTCAGTTGGGGATGGAGGTTTGGGGGCTGGGGAACGAAGAGCAGGTGGCAAGGAAGTAAAGTCTTTCCTCCCCCTGGCTGTGGCTCTGGATGCCAGAGAGACCGGTTGCTTCCCAGGCCTGGCTGGGCTCCTGGGTGCATCGAAGGGAATGCTGGGCCCTTGGGAGACTAGTGTTACGGGGTCTGGGTCACACTGGGGGAGCAGGGAGCTGGTGGAGAAGGCAGAGGGAGACTTGGTTTCGGGTCTCAGCTATGTCTGTCTGTGACCTTGAAGGAACTGCTTGGCCTTTACTTCTGCCTGTAAATCAGGGGTAAAAATGCTGGCTGGGAAGAGAAATGAGAACATAGGGGAAAGCTCCTCAGAGGAAGGGTATCCGCATCAAGTCTCAGGTGTGTCTGTCTGTGGCTGCACAGGCTGCCTAACCAAAACCTCACTTTCCCAGAGCTGAGGACCCTGTGTCCCCAGGGCCCAGGCCCTAGATTGTAACACTGGGTCCTCGGTACCATATGCCCTATAATGGCTGCATCCCCTTTGGGCAACACCCTGAATCCATATTTACAAAACAGTTAATTAGGGGTGACTTTGCATTACCAAAATACTCTCAGGGTTCCTATAAACGGCAGCTCTCCTGTTGCGTTCAAGTGTTTACAGATGAGCGAATGTGTCAGAAAGTCCCCGGTTAGATGCACTTGCCGAAGTGTTGAGCGTTCACCAAACTGATGAAGCCATGCTCTCCAAGGACAATGTTAATGTGATCTGACCCCAGCATTTTCTCTACAGAACACATATGTGGCATAAAGTGAGCCCCACTTCTGCTTTGTGTGTGTGTGTGTAGGGGGATGGGAGGGTTTTTAGAGGCTGTATCACGATGAACCATTATCTGGAAAATGAAAACTGAAGAGTCCCAAGTTGGAAGGAAGGTACCTGACTGGCCACCAGATCAACCACTGTCACACAAGGACATTGCCTCTCAATCCTGATGCCTACATCCTGCCCTTTGTCTCCCCCCCCCGTCCAAGATTTTATTTGACAGAGAGAGAGTACAAGCAGGTAGAGGGAGAAGCAGGCTTCCCCTGAGCAGGGAGCCCAACATGGGGCTCGATCCCAGGACCCAGGGATCATGACCTAAGCCAAAGGCATCGGCTTAACCGATTGAGCCACCCAGGTGCCCCTCCTGTCCTTTATCTGCTTAAAGTCTTGCGCAGGGAAACTGACTACCCCTAGTTCACACAGTCATCTGTGGACAGCACTGGTCAGTAGACCTTCCTTGGGTGCAGCCCCCAAATATGGTTTTCTGTTACTTCTATGCTTGAGGCGGGTCATTCCCTCAGGAATAATACAGAGCCTGTCAACTTCCTAAAGAGCTCAAGACCAGATAAAGAAGTAGGGCAGGTGCCCCTGAATTCTGTGCTGTCTGGGCTCTGTGACAAGTCCCTGGACATGGTCCTTTCCAGGCTGTGACTTCTCAGGCACAGCGAGCTGACTACTGCCACCTCAGTTCTTTGTTCCAGCAACCAGTGTGGGGAGCTGGGTGATGCTGGAGTCTGTGGGTCCCAGTGTCTTCACCCCTCCTCCCCATTGCTACTTCGTACCACTAGCCTGTATTGACCTGAGCTGGGGGCAGGTGTGTTGGAAACTAGTTAGGGGGTGACGGTGACTCAAAGACAGCCCACAGTCCTCTGGGAAGAAAGGAGACTGGTTAATATGGCCCAAACTGGGTGTTAGGGCAACTGCTGGTTCCAAGTGGCCGCAGTCAGATGAGAGGCAAGTCCTCAGTTTCTTATAGACAGGGACGTTGGCTTTGTCCTACTGCAGCTTGATGACCCAGGACTCGCATGTGATTGCTTTATTAATTCACTGCTGTTCAGTGACAGACTGAAGGCTGTTCTAGACTGTGGCCTTGTCTCTTCCTCTGATGGCACCCTAGTGGGACTATGTGGACAAGTATGCAGGGACCACAGAACCCACTGTTAACAGATCATCATTTTTCTCATTTTCTAGTCTCCACCTTTATCGTTAACCTCATACCCCAGATTTGTTACCAGCTCTTGGCAATGAAGGGACCAAGAAGGGAGATACTGCCCATTATAAGGTTCAAAATCCCACATAGAGGAGTCATCTGGCATTTTCTTGGACACAAATTCCAGAAGAATCTAGGCCAAAGAAGCAAACAGAAGCCTGTGAGATAATTTATCTTTATTGCCTCAGTCACAGAGGATCCTACACAACATAAAGGACACCAGGGACAGTAATGGAACTTGTAGGGAAACCAAACTTGGAAATTCTTTTACAGGGAGTTGAAGAGGTGAAGGACCCAACTTGATGAGCCTGCAACCTTGAGACAGTGGACAGTCTCTCAGTTAAGTAAGGTAGAGCAACAGAACAACAAGGAGGGCAGGGAGAGGAATCCCTAAGAACCAGATGGTTTCCGGTCTCCAAATACCTGGGCCTATTCAGTCTCTAACCAGGAAGCCTCTGTAGAGGAACAGGCTTCAGGCTCTGCCAGGAGCCTCCCCACTTAGGCTATGACTTCCTTCAATGCAGCCCCTAACTCTGGGAAGGAGTACTGGTAGCCTGTGGCCAGTGTCCGCCGTGGGACCACCTTCTGGCCCTCTAGCAGCATGATGGCACGTTCTCGTCCAAAGACCGCTTGCACCACCATGCTGGGGAGAGGGATGAAGGCTGGGCGGCCTAGGGCAGCGCCGAAGGCCTTGGCAAACTCAGCATTTGTAGTGGTGGGGGCTGGAGCCACTCCATTCAGGACTCCTTGCACGTGACTTGCTTCAACAGCATGGGCCAGGATCCCTGCCAGGTCCCTGATGTGAATCCAGGGGAAGAACTGATGGCCTGGGCCGATGGGGCCCCCCAGGCCCAGGCGGAAGGGCAGCAGCATGTGACCGATGGCACCACCCCCACGGCCCAGCACAACCCCTAGAGCAGGCAAGAGGGACAAGACAGGAGGCTCCTCGGTCTCCAGGCAGTTCCGCTGTTCCAGTCTTCCCTTCCCCATGCCACCTACCTTAGCTCTCTTTGGGGCCTCCCGTCCTCCCACCTGCAGACTGGGCAGAAATGGCAGCTTCCTCTCACTCTCTGGAAGCTCAGCTCCCCTGACTCCCCCATGCCCCCAGCCCAGGGAAGACATTCCAAACCTGTTTGATGCCCAAGCCCCTGGTTCTCACCGGAGCGCACCACCACCTGGCGTGTAGACTCTCCAGGAAGCCTGGCTGCAGCTTCCCATTTGGTTACCAGGTTGGAGAAAAAGTCAAAGTCCCCTCCTGGGCTGTCCTCATCATACTCTGCAGTCAGGCTGGGCTGGTAGTAAGCTGCCAGTGGAACAGCACTGGTTTGCCCCGAGTCCCCAGTCCTGCCTGGCCGTTGGCACCCAATGTTCCTCTTGGTCTCACCCTCCTTGGCCCCTGGGATATTCCCATGGGAAGACAAAGCCATAGATATTTTCCCTTTGAGCTGCTCCATGGGTTGACCCATTCCTGTGCTGGGGTAACTTATCTTTAGTTGCAGGGCAAAGCTGAAGGGCTGTTAGAATGTAGTGCTTAAGAGCCAAGACTTAGGGATCTGCTACCTGAGATCTACTCTTAGTTCAGCCATTAAGCCTGTGACTTCAGGCAAGGTATATAAGCTCTCTGTTGGCATCCTTAAAATGGGAATCATAACACCCACCTTTAGGGTTCCTATAAGGATTAAAGGCTGTAATACAGCAAAACAGAGTAGTGGCTGATACATGTTCTGTCTGGTCCCAGTGATGAAATACAAGAATCAGGAATTCTGTTCCTAAAGAACTTTACTGTGACAAGCAAGGGACTTGGGAGTAGGTGGGGCTGTTTCCAGCATCAGGAGCAGTACCACTATCCCCTCTTCCTCTAGGGATCCCCATTTCTCAATGAAAGTACACAAAGGTCAGGAGAAATATGCATGGGTGGAGGGCCTAGGAAGTTCCTGTGCTTGGAAAAGACCAGTACTCTGGGGCATGTGGAGCTAGAAGGGCTTGAGCTAGCCCTTTACTGTGCGACCTCTCTTCCTCTGGCTAATATGGGGGGGGGGGTGATGTGGGACATACCTACACCAGTGACTAAGACCCAGGCCTGGGGGGGTTGTGGAGCCTTGTTGATGGCTCTAGCCAGTATCTGGGTGGTCTCCAAGCGGCTGTTAAGAACCTCTTTTTGGAAGCGTTCATTCCACCTGCAGGAGAAACAAAAGGGAAATGAGCCACTAAATACGTAACACACACATATCCCTTCCTCTGTCCCTGGGGCTCATCCAGACCTATTTCTAGCAAAACCCCACGTTGTGCTTTAGAGAAATGGTCCATCTCTCCTGGAGAAAGAAAAGGCATATATTTTGGGCATCCTTGGTTATCAGTGAGGACCAAAGTCAATCGCTGAGAGGGCAGAAGGGCAGGTGGGTGTGCAGGGAGGTGGGGTGGGATGAGGAGATTGGGATTGGAGTTTAGTTCTCAGTCTGACATCTCCATTCTCCACAGCTCATAGGTTCTCATCAGGGTCACACCGTCCTCCCTCTGCTCATAAGGATAGCAGCTTCAGGGCCCTGGCTGACCTTCGGAGAGGGTTGAGGATGTTTTCTCCCGCCAGGTTGACAGCGGCATCGCAGTGGGGCAGCCCCGACGTATCAAGTTCATCCTGTCAGGGAAAACACAGTGCTGGGGGTGGGCGTGGGGGCTCGTCCTGCGCCTCCAAACCAGACCTTCCCCTACAGCTTCCGGAGGATGGACATACCCACGTGATTCGATCGGGGCCCGGCTTTCGGGAGACCAACGTCACTTCGTGGCCCCTGGCTTTCAGCAGCTGGGTTAGCGCTGTCCCAATGAAGCCCGTCCCGCCACCTGACCAGAAAATAGAGGAATTTATCCTCTCGGGGTCTCCTTCCGTCCCCACATGCGGCTCCCTCCTCTGCTGCCATCCCATCTGATTCCAGACTTCTCCCCTCCTTCTCGTCCCCTCCCCATGATGCAGAGGTGACACAGGTCACAGAGACTGGGGAGATTCAGCTTCCTGGGGTAGGAGGCCAAGGCTGCTGCACGATTACCTGTGCACGGTTTAGTGCCCTCCCTCAGAAACGACCTCCCGCCTCTCATGTTTTGTTTCAACCTTTCCATAAGCCCGCCCCCGACTCTCCTTTTCTGCCCTCCCTCACCCACAAGCACCCGCATAGCGACCAGGACTTAACGCGCTTGCGCAAGATTTGGTGGCCGTGGTGGTGGTGGTGGGTGGGGGGTGCCCAATCTTGGAATCGACTACGTCCTCTGCGCGCATGCGTCTTTCGGGAAGCGCGCTCCAATGGGCGGCCGGGCAAGATTGAGACTAGGCGTGACCCTGCCTGGCGACCCGGAAGAATTCATAGGGCAGGCAGTATATTTCTTTGCTAGGAGTGGCGGGGACTGGCTGGGGCTGTAGACGGAGACCGAGTGGGCGGGGAAAGAACGGAAGAGGGCAGAGGAGGGAAGGGTTTAGTGCGGAAACAATCCAAAACAAATACCAACCCCCCAAAACCCCTTGGCCGAAAGCCTATTAGGTATTCAAACCGCGGAAACATTCAGCCGGGTGGATCAGTAGTAATGCAAGAGAATTCGTCTACCAGTACTATGGATTTCTTTCCACCCGGCCTCTTATCTTTTCTTCTCCCTCTTCCGGTTCCTTCCTGTCTTCTTTTGAATGATCTAAAGTTCCCCTCTTCTTAAAATAACATCTCCAGTCCTTTTCTTCGAATGCTAATACCTTCTCTCTGTCTTGGTCTGCATAACCAACCTTCTTGGAGGGATGGTGTCCATTTTCTACTTCTAATTCACAGCAGTCTTTTTTTTTTTTTTTAATATGGAATGGCTTTGCGAATTTGCGTATCATCCTTGCGTAGGGGACGTGCTTATCTCTGTTTCGTTCCAATTTTAGTATATGTGCTGCCAAAGCGAGCACCACTTCTGTCTTTTGCTTGTATCATTAACTCTCACGGCAATATCACCAATTTCCAGTGTCACCAAAACGAATGCCCGGTTTTCAATAATTTTTCTTGAAACACTTGCTGGACACTTCCTCCCCTTGGAAATGCTCATCTCTTGGACTCAGTGAAGGGCCACAGCTCTCTTCTGAGTCTTTCACCGTCTTTTCAGTTTCTCTTGCTTCTTAAGATGCTGGTATTAAAATGTTGGTATTTCTTAAAGCTGGGTCCTAAGACCTTCCTCTTTTCCCTCTGCATTTTTTCCCAAGTTTCTGTGTTGGTGAATTTGAGTCTGGACACCTGGTTCCTGGGCTTGCTTTGAAAGCATAAGCGGAACCATAGTTGTATTAGTTACATTATTAGCTTACCTCTACCTTCTGTTTTGTTTCTGACTTTATTGTGTTTTAGCACCTCTTACTGATAAGGGAAAAACTATACTCTAAGATGGCTGACCAAGCCAACAAGGGAATTCCAGTCCCTGTCTCAAAGCCCTTCCAGGTTCTTCTTTCCTACGCCACAGGCACAAAAGTACCAAGTATGCGTAAGTAGAAGGGTATAAATTGCCCTCTCTGCTCATGCTCAGGGCTCAGACCTTTGGAGACCAGTCTCCTTTGAGCCTGCAGGTGTTACATAAATCTCTGGTTCTCCAAAGTCTCCGAGTGCTGCTTGGATCTTCCGTCAGGATCCAGTCCAGGTTCGGTAACATTTGGTTCCCTGACTGGGAAATCCCATCGTGCTGGCCCGTTTTTGCTATTGGTTTGGGGCAACTGCGGACTGGTGACAGATCGAGGGATCCTAAGGGAGAAGGCACACCCCGCCTAATTTTAGGCAGCCTCCAGCCCAGTCACCTCAGGCCAACTGGCCTGCCCTGCTTTTCTACCTGTACTCAAAGGAGATTTGGTCGGTCTTGACATCGGATTCTGGTAAGGCCTGGGGCACCAGTATCCAGTCAGGCCCACCGGTCAGGGCGGAAGGGGAAACTGATCACTTCCCAGAGACCTCTTAGAGGTTTCACAGGTGGGGCCTCCCGGCGGGGGAGGTGGGGGGAGTCCTTCAGGTCAGGAACCTCCCCCCGCAAAGGGGGGACAGGAAGGAATTTCTGAAAGGAATTCCACAGGTTGGGGCCTCCCAGGATGGAAGGAACTGCAATAACTTCAGTGTGAATGCGTGAGTGAATGTGCAGTTTGAGCTGGCTTGTCAGGCGGACTGATTCTGTGGCTCCACCTGTAGGCACACTTAGGGTCCCCAGAAGCCTATGGAGTCTGAGTGGGCCCAAATCTGTTTCCGTGGTGACCTCATTAGTTCTAAGGCAAGCCTCTTTGGGGCACCAGTCCGGGGTGTATATGGACTCCCTACGGCCAAGAGGCACCCAGGTCTTCTCCGGGAGGGCGGACAGGCGGGCATCTGACTGGTCTCTCCTTTGAAGGGACACCCACCCTTTGTCTTTAGAGCCAATGACACAGGGAGGGGACACACAGGGTGGACAAGAGAGTCCCTGCTCTTCATGGGTGGAAGCTCTTCAAAGCCTACGGTCTTAGACTATATGCTCGAAAATTTTAAGAAGGGATTCTCAGGAGACAGTGGGATAAAAATGTCTCCTGGAAAATTAAGCACATTATGTGAACTGGAATGGGTCACCTTTGGGGTCAACTGGCTCTCTGAGGGTGCCGTAAGACCTACCCACTGTCCAAGTCATTTAAAAAATTATGGTCAGATCAACAGATGAATAGATAAAGAAAATGTGGTGTATATATATATATATGAATACTATGCAGCCATCAAAAGAAATGAAATCTTGCCATTTGCGACGACGTGGATGGAACTAGAGGGTATCATGCTTAGTGAAATAAGTCAATCGGAGAAAGACAACTATCATGTGATCTCCCTGATAAGAGGAAGTAGAGATGCAATGTGGGGGGTTGGGGGGGTAGGAGAAGAATAAATGAAACAAGATGGGATCGGGAGGGAGACAAACCATAAGTGACTCTTTTTTTTTTTAAAGATTTTATTTATTTATTTGACAGAGAGAGAGAGAGAGGGAGATCACAAGTAGGCAGAGAGAGGAGGAAGCAGGCTCCCTGCTGAGCAGAGAGCCTGATGGGGGCCTCGATCCCAGGACCCTGAGATCATGACCTGAGTTGAAGGCAGAGGCTTTAACCCACTGAGCCACCCAGGTGCCCCCATAAGTGACTCTTAATCTCACAAAACAAACTGAGGGTTGCTGGGGGGAGGGGGGTGGGGAGAGGGGGGATGGGGTTATGGACATTGGGGAGGGTATGTGCTATGGTGAGTGCTGTGAAGTGTGTAAACCTGGCGATTCACAGACCTGTACCCCTGGGGATAAAAATACATTATGTGTTTATAAAAAAATAAAAAATAAAGATGAAAAAAAATTATGGTCAGGACTCCCGGACACACTGACCAATTCCCATATATTGATTCTTGGCTTCAGATAGCCCAAACTCTGCCCCCATGGGTCCAATTCTGTGCTAATAGGAAGGACCAAAGTAGGATATTTGTAACCCAAGTAAAAAAGCCCAAAGGCGGTAAGGAAGCAAAACCTACCAGGGAGACCCTGCCCAGGGGGTGTCAGTGGCAGCAATGGGGATGGGCTCTGGATAAGGAGGAGCCCGTCAAGAAACATGGGGGTCGGTGGGGGGGAGGTGAGGGGATGAGGGAGAAGCGCAGGACCACAGTCCTCCTCTGACCTAGGGCCTAAAGCTGAGCTGCAGGAAGATAGTGCTCCTGCTTTTTTTAAGTGGCTTGTGTGGGGAGATATCTGATTTAGCAGCTCTGAAAGTGCACAGGAAACTTGATCCAGACAGAAACAGGATGTAAAATAACAGGATCTCATATACTTAGGTTTTGTGGGGATGGGGGGCGCGGAGGGGGGCATCTGAGTGGCTCACTCGGTTAAGCATCTGCTTACCACTCAGGTCATGATCCGAGGCGTCCTTCAGGATAGAGATTTTTTTTTTTTTAGATTTTTCTTTATTTTTTTGACAGAGAGACACAGCCAGAGAGGGGACGCAAGCAGGGGGAGTGGGAGAGGGAGAAACAGGCCTCCCGCCGAGCAGGGAGCCGGATGTGGGGCTCGATCCCAGGACCCTGGGACCATGACCTGAGCCGAAGGCAGATGCTTAATGACTGAGGCAGCCAGGCACCCCCAGGACAGGGACTTTAAGGAATATTTCCAAGCAGCTGCTGAAACTCCATTTATTACCGGGAAATTCCCTGTCTTCTCTGGCCCGTATACCCCCTTGCTGGTGGGAGAACATGGCGTCTGCTCCTCTGTTGGAGCTGATGAGCTCCTGAACCAGGAACCCTTTCTCTGCCCTCTGGCAGCACTTTGTCTCTTCTGCCTCCCCATCCCCTTTCTCCTGTTTCTGCACCACCTTGGGTGCAGCCTCTATTACTGGCTTCTGGACCATCCTTGGGGCCTTAGGCACCATGGCTCCTTCTCCCTTCACTGAAAAGGAGCAAGAAGAGCACCCCTTGTACCTAACACCAGCCACTCCAGATTTCCCCATGTGTCTCAGGTGAAAACTGACCCTGGGGAGGATCCAGGTGGAACATAATTCAGTATTTAAACTAAGTTTGTTGGTTTTATTTTTAAAAGATTTTATTTATTTATTTGACAGAGAGAAGGAAAACAAGCAGGGGGGAGCAGGAGAGGGAGAAGCAGGCTTCCCACCAAGCAGGGAGCCTGATGTGGGCCTCAATCTCAGGACCCTGGGGTCATGACCTGAACCGAAGGCAGCCACTTAATGACTGAGCCACCCAGGCGCCCAGTTGGTTTAATTAAGATGTCTTTTAGTTATCAGCAGGAAATGTGAAACTTTTACTCTATCAAGGTTTACTGAAGGTTAAATAACCTTGTGTTATCTGTGGCAATTTGTTAGCAAAAAGATGACTACACTGATGGATAACTGTCTCAAAGTTTTCTTGGGTAATTGTTAAGATAGCTTTCTCTGTCTCAAAGTTTTCTTGGGTAATTGTTAAGATAGCTTTCAAAGTGTTTGGTAAACTAAAACTTTCAAGTTTTGCTTGGATGATAAATGGAATTGAATTCATTAGACAGCTAGGTCTTTTCCAAATAGGATAAAGTGCTAAGTCATTAATTACTGGACATAGGTCTGTCTTTTGAGTTCTTACTGCAAAGAAACTAAGGATATTTATTATGGAGGCCATGTATTACATGGAGCACTGGGTGTGGTGCATAAACAATGAGTTCTGGAACACTGAAAAGAAATAAAAAAAAAAAGAAACCGAGGATATTTAAATCTGTTGCTAACATGTTTTGTGCTTAACTGAGTCACAAATTTGCCATCTGAAG